AGGACATTTGACATGCCAGATAGTGTCATCCAGAAGGAAATTGCTGAGGGTGTGGCACAGGTTGTTCGAATGTTTGAAAGTGAAGAGAACGCTGCTGCTGTTTGAGGCATTCTTTTAAAAATCTTGTAATATGTTGGATTCCTTGCTAGTCTGATGTTTGGAAGATGCAGCGAGCTTAGTTTATGATGTGTGGACCTGGAATTTCTGTTGCCCTCTCTCTTTCTTCGGTGGTACTATGTTCTGCATGAACATCTTCGACTTATATGTTCCGGCTCTTGTAAAAGGTGGTACTTGTTTTAAGCAAGAGCTTCGTTCCCTTCTGTGTTTTTGCTCGTAGTTTTGCCTCTCCTTACGTGTTCTTCTACTATGAATGCGTTTTCTTTCCCGCCAATACTCATCTTCAGCTGGAGAAGGCCTGCCCAGTTTCTTAAAAATGCTTTAGGATGTGTAGTCTTGTATATTTTAGGAGATAAATTTGAGTCGCTTGTTTGGAATTGAAAGTTGACGCTTGTGCGTGCACGTACAGCATACCACAAAGATCTTCATAAAGTAATGGAACTGCTTGGTGGCCTTTCTCTCAAAATTGCGCTTTTGAGCCGAAAAGGAGCAAAAGGGTTATAAGGCTTTTCATGCCCATCGCTAACAGCTGGTGCAATAGGCAAACAATTTTAAATTCTATGGCCCAACATATCTGGCAGGGAGGAAGGGAATTTAGAAGAATGGGGAACTGTATGTCACTCATTGCTTAAATGATCTTGCTAGGCCTCTAACCCAACATTGCATTGGCAATTGAGAGGGGACTGATTTATATTCTGCCATTCGTGAAAATTCTAGAGTTGCTACTTTTGTTAGAAATAACAAGTGGTACTGTCCACGAGCGAGATTCTATGATTTAATGGAGAAACAAATTTCTGTGTGTTGCTAAGAGGAAGTACCATGGATAGATATAGCTTCAAATTGTGGTCAGGGATAAAGCGCTATGAATGCTTGAAATGGATTAGGACTTAAAACCAAAGGTTTGATTAGAACAAAAATGTAGATGAATAGGGAACCCGTGGGGTCAAAATCACACCAATTTCATTCATGCTCCTATGCATCTTAGTGTCACAAATTTTATGTCAATAAAAAATAGGTGGATTTTGTAAGCTTTCTACCACTCATTAAGTATATTTTTAAGTTAGAAACATAAATTCGTGATAAGTAGTATCAGAGTAGATTCAAATTTTCACTAATAGTGTAAAAGTTTTTCTTTTAGATATTACACAATTAAGTTAAATAGAATACCATAAATATTATATAAATATGAACTTTTCATTACTCATGGAGCTTTTTTAGAGTTCAAAACGTGGACCTGTAACATTTAGCCTTCCTAGGCCTGTTTTTTATGTCCGAACTCCTTCCTAGGCCCATTTATATGTCTGAAATTCTGAAATCAATCTAGATCACATGATTTAATTTGTTCTAGGGGCCGAGCAGAAGCTGGATTTGCTGTTTGTGACGTTAACACAAAGCTTAACGCGATCAAGCTAGTGGCTTTCAACTTTTTATTAGATTAAATGATTATAATTTAGTACAAAATTAACCTTCTGAAGACTGAGCAAAGGAACTTTTTCAATAGAAAATTCTTAGAACTATTTCAACACAATGACACTAACGTTAAGTTTGGAGAAAAGAATTTTTCCAGCATCTCAGCTCGTACCTCGGAAAGTTCCCCGGAAGGGAAAGACACTGGCCCACTGTCCCTCACATTAATTTACTAGCTGCAACTTTTCAAAGTCAAGACTCGGGACAATGGGCCATGAGCTTTTCCCATTTGTTGAATAAGCCCCATGCATGAACGAACGAATTTATTCGTTGGTGTAAATCTCACACCTACTGCCATTACACCGAAGTAAACTCCATTAAACTATAAAAAATACAGACGAAGCAGCTTTTAAAGTTCGGCAATTTTGGCCAACCACCATTGAATCTCTAGCTCAAGAAGCTACCTGGAAAGTCTGGGTGCTAAGGTTGAAAGCCTGGAATCAATCCCACACGTTCATAATGCATTCTGCTTTAGAATAACCTTTTCGGTCTATAGTCTTCCTGATGACAGCGATGTACTTAATTTTCTATAACCATATTGGTTTGAAAACTAATCAGGGTCTAGGTGGAAACTTCACAACGTTTCGTCATTATCCTCACCGGCAAGCGACCTTCTTTAACTTGGGAGATTCTGTTCAGATTCTAAAATTAACGTGGCAGCAATAAACAACTATGTCTAAAGTCAAACTAAGACGATTACTTGGGAATTAAGATTTCAGTTGGGGAAAATTTATTTAAGTAAAAGTTCGCTAATCATATTCATTATTAAAAATGGCTGGATTCGGTTCCAATCGAATGGTTATTAACCCACGGGATTTGAAGCAATGGGGCTTGGTTTATTGTTATTACAATGGTCAACAGTTGGAACACATTATACTAATATACGGTGACGGAACTTGGGATGCTAATATTTCTGGCTTCTGCCTCCGGCCCCTCCAGCATCAAATCAATCTTTGCCGATTCGTTAACGTGAAAGGGCAGCTGCGTAATTGTTTATATACCCCAGAGTGATGATGATGCTGATGTTGATGGTGACGACAAGGGTGATGATGACGGCAATGATCACAACAACAACGAAAATGACAGATAAAAAAAATAAATGGGAAAGGAACTCTCATGATTTTGATAGGGGAAATAAATTCTAATCTTGAGAAAAATTCAGATAGTTTTTTTATATAAAAAAATTGATAATAATTTAATGAAATATATTTTTATTTTTCTTGTACCAAACATTATTAAAACGATTTTCCTTTGATAGCAGCCGAAAACCTTTTACTGCTGTGGTAAAATTCTGAAAGAAAGGGAAACGAGATGAACCAGTGCATTGATCATTGGACCAAGAACCCAACTTGCTGATTCTGAAGAGTTAGTCTTTGTATTCCGTGTGGAAATGCATTATGATCCATTCAATTTTCTTGCCGCTGATTGGTAACAGTAGGCAGATGGACTGAGTAGAATTTACTGTAGTCTATTTGTGGGCTGTAGTAGGGCCGGTGAGCTCCAACTCCCACGTTTAGAAACTTCACCACGACTTTCCTCGATTTACTCGTTATTCAAAGCTAGTGAATTGGAAAATAAAAAAGGCTTCCTGAAAAAGCAAGAATAAATAGTCAATACCTCCCACCGCCCGGCCAATCCCGTCACCTTTTCCTCCAAGAAAATTTGAATCAACAAATTAGAAATACGAGTTTTGCTGCCAGTCTGGAGTCCTGATTAACTAGCTACCAGCTAGTGACTACCAAATTCTACAAGCAATATTAGGAGCATTTAACTTTTAATTTAAGCTAGAGTTTCTTTAGGAAAGTTCAGATCAAATGCGAGGAAAGCGTGGAGTTGATTTTGTAATGATTACTCGCATTGCTTCTCACCAGGAAATTTGTTGCAAGTTGTAACCATGACATTTGGCACATACATTATTGAAACATTGAAATAGAAAATCCTAAAATTATTATGATATAACAATGTCATTATCAACAAGTCTTTGCTAAAAAATACTAGTAAAATATTATAAATTTTTTATTAGTAGAGAAAGGTTAGCGTGGAATATAAATTAATGTGGCAAGGAAAATGTGGAGTTTAATTATGTTAATGATTGTACACTACTTTTACCAAGGAATTTGTTACCGTAAGATTTGGCATATGTTGTATGGAGTTGGAAAGTCTAGAACATCAAAATCGAGTAATCTTTGGTAAAAATAAGATATAATAAGAGTTTATTAATGGCAGGTCAAACTCACCACAAACAACGGCGTTGAAAAGGAAGATTCGGTTTGAAGTTCCGATTTCCTAATTATGCAAAAAACTACACATTAACATAATCCTGCTAGCCTGCCTGCGTGGACCAACCCGCCACCGCACCTTGAAAAGGGCAATTCTCGTTTCCTGTTCTTCAACTTGTTAATTTTTTATTGTTTTTACTCTTTTATTTTCTTTTTATTTTATAATTTTACTTTCCTTTTGGCTTTTCTTGTCAGCATCTTTGACACAATAACCAATTAAAAATTAAATTGCCAGCTTGGATCGATGGCCCTTCGGTGGAAAAGTTAGGTAGTTACAATTATTCACGATTAAAAAAAAATTGTACTGCATTTTATTGTTCTTTATTGAATATTTTTCCTTTACAAAAGGGACACTGTTAAGCTTGGAAAGAAAATCAATGGCAATTTGAAAACATAATTATGAGCAAATCTAAAAACCCACACGTGCCACGAGGGCCCCACATCAATGCCACATGGATCACCTCTGTGGCTACAATATTTCATACACCAAAAAATCTGGGCCCTCCATCTGTTGCCACATCAGCTGCCATCGTATGGCCAAGGTTTCTTAGATCAATTGCGACCCTTTCGAGACCCATGTCCTGCCACGTGGGACCACCTCTTTGGCCATAATTCAAGGAAACGACCGTCACCGACCGACGACCACCCAGCTGTGACTGAAAGTGACGACACGCTCACAACACGTCCAACAAGTACGTGCCAGGTCCCGCTCTCAAACGTGGCCACGTCAGACCTTAGTCAATTACAGGTGTCCACACGCGGATTGGCGGCAAAGTCTTCGTGCCACGTGTCTCCCCGTCTCTTGAAGATCCCCTGTGGGCCCCTGGCCTTTTTCTTTGGCCTAAACTAAAATGTAACTAAACTACCAAATTTTATATTAACCAAAATTTTCTGGTTCTTCAGTCATATGACTCTAATAATTTAACGAAACCTGCAAAAGTGACGCGCCTCCCGTCCATTTCCCACTCTACGCTCCCATATACTCGCCCGTGAAGTGTACTTAGGAGGAAGAAGATTGGGGAAAATCCATTCAGATGGTAATTTCTCATATTTTTTCAGTTATGTTTCCTGATTCAACAAACGAGAGTTTGCTCTGTAAACCACGTTTCGTCGAAACCGAAACTCTATAAATACCTAAACGCTAATAAAAGGCTTTTCCTTCTTATTCTTTCCTTTTTCCTTCTCTCTCCTCTGAGTTAAGCAATCGTTTTGGTTTATACGATTTTTAGCTTGATTCTCGTTCTCGTTCTCTGCGATTTCGTCTCCCATTCAGGTGATTATAATCTTCTCCTTCTCCCCCTCACCCCGACCTTGTCAACTCACATTTTCTTTGCTTCTTTTTTGGCCGCCGAGAAGGTAGAATCAAGCCAGTGGTTTAGTTCAATACGGCTTTGCCAAATTCTTATACTTTGTTCTCTTCTTTGTATATTTTACTCGGCTTTCCTTCATTTCTTGAACGAGGAAAATGGTGCATTAACCATTCGTTGATTATTTTTCTCTTCTTTTCTGGCTTTTGCTATTGAAGTTACCTGCATTTCTCGAGCGGCGTTTTGTTTTTGCGTCTGGTTTCCACGAGCTTTCTAAACTAGGTGCGGTTTTATGATTCCTTTTCTGAAGCTGTTTTGCTTTTGTATGTAATACCATTTCGTTGACGGAATCCCCTTCAAAGCTCGATTTCCTGCGCTTTCTTAATCTGACGAACATCCAAATCTCTGCTTTTCAGATGACTCTTTCCATTTCGAATTTCTAACAATAGTAGCAAGTTATTCATTTACGGATTTTATGTGGATGTAATCATTTTCAAATTAAGTTCCTTGTTTTTTTGGTTTTTTAAATTTCAGTTGTGTCCTGCTCTGTTTTGTTCAAGATTTTGATACCTTGGTTTTTCTTTTAGTAAAAAAAATCAGTTTCCGATTTTCGAATCTTTTATTTTAAGAAAGAAAATCTAATTTTGTGGTTGGTTCCATTGTTGTTTTCTTTGAATCGTTATTTACATTTATTTTTTTTAATTATGACTGATCGCTACATGAATGGTTAGTTCAGTTTTTTCAGTTTTTTTTCCTAACCGCATAACAGATGCTGTCAATGTTTATTCCAATTTGTCTGCCCCTTATGGCTGTGTTTGCTTAGGCTGATGTGATATTTCCCTTTGTTTTCATCTCTGATTTTTTATTACAATAAAAATTCTTAGCTGCAATGTCAACTTCTCTGCCTATTATATGAATGATTCAATATCAACTGTACAGTTTCAAGTTATAAGCAACTTGACCTTGTCAAAGTCATATTTTTCAATAGTTGAATCTTCAAATTTAAATAATAATAATAAAAAAAACTGCTTATTCTAGCGCCTGTAGATTGGTTCTCCGGTGGTATTCTTAACCTTACTGATTAAACAATGATACAGTTGCATACTTTTTTAGGTAATTTTGATGCTGATGGATGGAATGTGTGATAGCAACATAAGTATGGTGGTACCTGAAATTTCAATTTTTGGTTGCTGTAATGATTTAATTCAATCAGTGAATCTTTTATGTGCTCGGGGTCCATGTGTTTTAATGTTTTTCCCATCCTTCACTGTTGGCCCGTTATGTGTGGTTGCGTTTAACGTGGTTTCCCTCTCCACTCTGTGGGGTAACATCGCTTTTTATTAAGACAACTACCATTTACTAACATTTTCTCTACCAGATATCAGTTTTTTTCGTGGGCCAGTTTTTTTTTTTCTTCACCAGTGCTGCTGTTTCAGGCATTTTCATATACATTCAGGATTTGCTGCTTTTTGCATGCTTAGTTAGAGTATGATGTAGGTGATTGGTAATTTTTTTCACTACAGTTACAGCTGTTCGGTTAAGTCATTTCATAATGGTGGTATTATTGTTTACTTTTTTAGCTCATGATGTCGGTGATGTCAGACTCTCTATGCTTATGTTTCCGTTTCAGCTATACGAAAATCTTTGTGCTATTAGCATAGTAATGCTGGTTTGTTCAGTTCCCTGTTCTTGCAAACTGGGACTGTAGGCAACATGTGATGTATCAAACTTTGGAGCCTGTTATGCATGTTACACTAATGATATTGGTTAAAAATCAAATCAATCATATTGTTGAGTTCTAATAGTTCTTGTCATTGGAAGTATCAAGATTCTTTAGTCACAAATTTCATCTCGCCATCAGCAACTTGTTGGCTTGATTGTTTTCAAGCTATTCTGCACCAATCTGGGTGGTGCTCTGTACTGAATTTAATCGTTTCAAATTATTGAGTTGAAATTCAGGCTTGGATCTGTAGTTCTGCATAATAATAAAGTCATCAATTTGTTTTATATTTTAATTTTTTGAAATATTCCTGAAGGTTTATGGACTCCTCATCTATCTTTTGTTTTGTTTTTGAAGATTCCCTGGTTTTTCATCATTTTGTCTTGAATTATCAGAGCAGGGTGTATCTAAATACATACTTTAGCATGATATTTTAGAAAGATTTTATGTAAAATTATAGTCTAGTTGTTTAAAAAGAAAGATAATGACACAAATCATTGTTAAATGTTAGTGTCCAACACTTGTGCTCGTTGCAAATTAACTTTGTCTGGTAAGAATAAGACTGAACTTTAAGAGGAATCTAAGGCTGTGAAAGGTCTTAGAAAGTGGAATTATTGCATTTCTAGTAATGCCTCTATGTTTCTTTAGAAAATATTCATGCATATAAAGCTTTTTGACTGATAAGATCTTTTCCCCCCTTCCAAAATCGGTTCAGTTCATCTGAGCTGATGCTTTCCATTTGTATATAATCTGTGGTCATTTCCATCTTCCAAATGATTCATACTACATATGTTTGACACCGTTAGTTGCAAAAGATTATCTTTTTGTTTTTCTGTGCCATTTCCACCTCCACACCTTTTGGTTTTCTGAAGTTAATTTTTTTACGATTAGTTGGTGAGGCATATTTCATATTCTTGGGCTCAAATCCAATCAATTTGTCAAATTTCTTTAGTATTTCAGTTTTTGTTCTGGATCTGTACATTAATCATACTTCTTAAATCTATTACTTGCAGATATTGTTTTTCTCACATCAGTTTTAAGCAGAGTAACCAAGGGAGATGAACAGGTTCAGTTCACATATCTGTTTCTCCTGAAAAATGTTATGATCTTGAGCTTCATTTTGTCCATTTAACACTTTCTTTTGATCAGTGTTCAGGGCCATTATGCTTGATGGACTGCTTGCCGAACAGCAGTGACAAGAAAACATTGAAGAGGTGGTTCTTCATTGATAAAAGGGTTGGCTGAATTGAATTTCTGAGATTGAACATTAAGATTTGTTTCTTTACACTTGAGTGGATAGTTTTCTAAGGAATCTGCTAGCTTTTACGTTATAAGTAGTGACACAAAGCTGGATCCAATGGACCTAAAATCTAATCACACTGCTCCTGTTCTTGGTGATCCTGCACCCATAAGCAAGTCAAGATTACGAGTACATTCCAGTCTGTTTCCATACTCACCCCCAGGAGCAGTGTTCTCTCCAAATCTATTTCTAACTGTTCCTAGGAAGAAAACTGGAATTCTTGATGACGTTCGTGCCAGCAGCTGGCTGGATGCTATGAAATCCTCATCCCCCTCTCATAAGAAAACCAGGGAATTCAACAATGAGCTTGCATCAGCTGATACAGATGTTGCATATCGCACATGGATGGTAGTTGTTTCTCTTTTACTTATCTGAGTTTAATTTTGATATAACTGGATGGGTTATTGATCTGCTCTATATACTTTACCCTCTGGTTTTACAGGTTAAATATCCCTCTGCACTTACATCTTTTGAGCATATCACAAATTTTGCAAAAGGCAAGAGAATAGCATTGTTTCTGGATTATGATGGGACTCTTTCACCAATTGTGGACAACCCTGATTGTGCCTTTATGTCTAATGATGTAAGAATGGCTTGTTTGAAACTTTTGGTCAAATTCTCACTTTTTCCATTTTCTGCACTGCCAATATACTCATCAAAACCTTTATTCAGATGCGAACTGCTGTAGAAAAAGTGGCAAAATACTTCCCAACAGCAATAATTAGTGGAAGAAGCCGTGACAAGGTGATTGGAGGGCATTTTAAAAAAAATTTGACATCTTCCTTGGTGGTGTTTTACATATTTACATATTCAATTGCTTCCTTGACAGTATTCAGTTTATTTATGTGTTTGATTGCCTCTTTGTTGGGTTTTAATTTTGACATTATCTTGTTCTATGCCTTCTTTATTCAGGTGTATGAGTTTGTAGGACTAACAGATCTCTATTACGCGGGAAGTCATGGAATGGACATCATGGGGCCTGTTAGGCAATTTTCCGATGATCACGCTAACTGCATTAGATCTACTGATAAGCAGGTCTTGGGCTGCAAATTTTCAATGTTTTAATGCAGTTCCCTGTGTTTCTCTCCTCCTATCTTTTCTTAAGTTATTTGTTCATCTTGTTCCTTTTTAATGCAGGGCAAGGACGTTAATTTATTCCAGCCTGCTAGTGAATTCTTACCTATGATTGATGAGGTATGTCAATGTGTTCAGAGTGCCATACTTCAAGCCCTGACCTTTTCCTCTCTGTTCTAATGTGGAATTCTCATTCATCGCAGGTTTTTAACTCACTTGTCAACAGCACCAAGGAAATTAAAGGAGCAAAAGTTGAAAACAATAAGTTCTGTGTTTCTGTCCATTACCGTAACGTAGATGAGAAGGTGAAGAATTTTTCCTCAGCACTAGAATCCTTTATTTATCTGTTGGTATTGATTCTGAATAGCGGGTACATTTACATAATTTATTTACTTCTGGGCATTTTCTTAAATTTATATTCAGAATTGGCCAACAGTTGCACAACGTGTCTACGATGTCATCAGAAACTACCCTCGTCTACGGTTGACTCAGGGGCGGAAGGTGATCTTTATAGACAACGTGATACTTTTGTCATTTTTGTTAACTGATGATTTTCTGCTTGTGGCTTGTGCTATATGGATGTTATAATATCTGTTTGTGTTATTTTATATAATTATTCATTTATTTTTTAAAATCTGCTTAATTAGGTATTAGAGCTTCGGCCTGTGATCAACTGGGATAAGGGGAAAGCTGTTACATTTCTACTTGAATCACTTGGTAAGTATGTTTTCTAACTTGTCCTTTTTCTGTCATGAAATCTATATTATTTTCTATGCCTAATAATGTGACAAAAACAAATCCTTTAGGGCTTAGCAATTGTGATGACGTGCTTCCCATTTATGTTGGGGATGACCGGACAGATGAGGATGCATTTAAGGTAAGACATAAATCCGGATAAAACTGATCTTGGGAGTTCTTTATGAGTTAAAATATATTTACAGAACCAACTTCATTTGTTTATAACAGGTTCTGAGAGAGGGAAATCGAGGATATGGCATTTTAGTATCATCTGTGCCCAAGGAAAGTAATGCATTTTTCTCCCTGAGGGACCCACAAGAGGTACAAGTTATTTTGTTTGCTTTCTAAGATTAGAGATGCTTGATGCTTGATGCTGTGATAGATACAGACGCACACACACACACAGTGTCAATATCTTTCTTGTGATAAAACGTCAAAGGAGCTTTTGGCCACCAAGTGGGAAAGGGCATTTGAGAAAGCTTGCTTCTTGTTCTTCCCACTCTGTTTTTCTGTTTTCTATGCGTTTGCTACATATTTTAGCCATACGGAGTGTCTGGATTGTGTTTATTCCATTTGGATTACTGGTCTTTTCCATCTTTACTTTCTTTGATTTGGTTTGATTTTTAAATTAATTATGGTGATGCCTGTTAATGATACAGGTAATGGAGTTTATTAAGTCATTGGTGATCTGGAAGAAGAAGACAAGCGCTCTCTGAATACAACAAATAATATAGAGAAGAAGAAAAATACTCCGATACAAAACATAGAAAGATAGCCTATATGTTTTTCTTAGTTAACACACGGAGGCTTTGGAGTGGAATTGCACAGAGGAACTCCAGTAGTCTCCAGGACTGGTGCCTTACTGTTTCTGCTCAAATGCTTCTTGTCTTAACTGTATATTCCTGCTTTAATTATCTTTCTGACTGGTGCGCAAGGATGCTTCACTTATCAGATCAATCATTCATGTTTTCCCCTTCTTTCACCTTCAGTTTTGGTCAGCAAAGTCTCTTCCATGGGATATCTAATATAGAAAAACACTTAATATTTTTTCATTCTTCTTTAAATATAGAAAATGCTTGTGTATAAACTCCTTTTGGCTATATTTTCATGCATTCTTCTCTATTAGTATTTCCTTCGTATAATTTAAGCATTTTTCCAACGGAAATGCACTCGCGAGTTTCATGAAGTTGTCCCCGTTGTGTTGGGCTGGCTGAGGGCTTAAGCTGAAGTCCATGTGTTTGTGTTGAGTGAAACTTGGGAGCTTCTGCAGTATTAGCGATATAGCAAGAAATTTCGTGTAACTGGGCCTTTGAGTCTGCTTTATTTTCGGCCTATTACTGTTTCTTCTGAATTTGATTAATGGGATGAGTATTTGTTTTGAGTAAGAAGAAAAATCTCCCACTACTCTTTCTCTGTTACTCAGAGAGTTAGTAGGTTTTCAAAGGGCATGGGTAGCATGTCTATAAGCTACATGGATGCATACACATGATTAATTGATATTAAATACTTTTCTCTTCTTTTCGTTTTTTTTTTTATTTGGGGATTTGGAGAAAATGGATTTCAACTCAACTCTTTGAATAGAAAAATAGATATGTATTTATTATTGAACGAATTTAGGCTGTAATTCACTTAGTCGCTAAAATGATCTTAGTGACGGGTTCTTTGCCCAAATGAGGCAGAAGTTTTCACTACATCCTGTTGTGTCCCTTTTTGTCTGTCTGTCTCTTAATCTTCCCACCTCCTTCACTGGTTCTTGGATAAGTACATCCATGGAACAACTGTCGTCAACTTCATTTGGCTGTCTCCATGATTGTGGGGAAGGACGTGAAGAAGTAAAGAAGACAGCCGACGTGGGTTGGTACCAATCCAGGACCCATCCCGTCTTGATGACCAATGCTGAATGACTAATGTTGACATGGATACGGTTCCCCTCAATTATTTTACTTATCTTTTCTTGCATGATGTCTCCATTTATTCTGAAAGACAATGATCGATGGACCATGTCCTAAACATCGCTCCATCTTTGCAAACTGCTGATCGTTCAATAAGATTTTCATGATACACGTGAGCCTGGTTGGTGGCAATTTCATTATCTCAAATTTTAACTGCAGACTTATGACTAATAGCTACATAATAGTTTGGTTGTCCTAATAATGGCTGAGTAATGACTGCTGAGAGATCCAAGAGTTAGAATTCTGGCAGGGTTGATGCCTTTCCCGAGGTGATGTCCGGCCAATGTTTGCTTAGCAACAGACAAAAACTATTCAAGATTGGCAAATTTCATTTTCAGGATCTGGTGGATCGAACCAAGTCATAAAGTAAAAGGTCATCCTCACCAAACATTCTTCTGCGACGCTTCGTTTGCCAATTCCCACTGCGCTCGCAAAACAAGCTTCTGATAAGACTAGCCTTAAACCCGAGACTAAGATAAGTCTTCTTTAGTTTATTTAATTGGTACAGTTCGGATTCAGTTGGTTATAATAATTTTAAATGCTATTAATTGTTTTGTTCCCTATTCTGCGTTTAGAATCAGAACAGCATTGGGGCAAACGAAATAATAACTAAATTTGTGTCCTATAACTAGCTTATTAGACTTTTAAATGATCATCTAAGTACACTTTGAAGGGCCCCTTGCGCACAAAGCATTTCGGAGTTGCAATATTGACATTAAAAAAAGAGCATGATGTAACATAATCTGCTCATCATAAGGCATCAGAACTCCAGATTAACCCTATGCTCGAAAGCTCCATTATCTCTAGAAAATTCCTTCATTATTAAATTTTACAGTCAAATTGAACCCATGTTTCATGGCTTAAGAGGGCTTGCCATTAAACCATTCCAGTGCTAATATCTTAGTATGCCATCTGATTTTTGTGTCTCCATTAAAGTTGACTCTACCTTTGTTTCATATGTTGTGTCACAAAAGCCCCATTTGGGAGTAAAGAGAAGGTGCCGAAATAGAGTAAATAACATTATTAGCAATTCTAAACCAAGGTTTTAAAGGTTAGAACAAACATATAATACAAGGCTTCACATGGTAACAGTGCACAAAAAATAAAAATAAAAATAAAAAAAGACAGCAGCTATTCTAATCGAAGAAGCAGCATCTTTTTAGTTGGTTTGTCAAGTGTTACACAGATTTGAACATCGCAAGATCCTGTGATCCTAACAGTCCTGGAGTAGTCTCAAATTCTAACCACCATTCCATCATGACGCAGTGTTACAAAGATTTCAAAGAGGAAATGAGCCTCCAAACTAAAAGATGAGTGATAATCACTTACAGCTGCAAGCACATGCATGATGATGCACGGTTTAAATCAGATAATTAATCCTCGATTCTAGGCTTTGTTTACTCAAGGAGACATGTCACATGATACTCCAATTTTTATGTTTTCACGATTTAAAGGTTATGTGAATCTGATAGCTACCACTCCTTCAGGTTGAAGTTTTCATGTAAAGCATCCTAAAGCTAGATGCCTTAAAGTCTTCTGTAACGATCCTATTCTTAGCAATGTTGGATTTTTGGATGATGTTGTCCACAAAAGCTATACTTAAATTTTCCCTGAAATTTTGTTACATGATGTACAAATTACTGTCATCGATATACCACTGGATGATTTTCTAGTGGATACCCGAATCTTTTATTGTTTTTCACGGTTCTACGCGGCACAAGCCATATTGGGGAAAATATCCCACATGCTGCACTACTACTAGAAAAAGGTAGTTTTTGTAATTATTTTTTTATGAAATGACATATCCCTTGTCTTTAAACAAAAAAAAAAAAAAACAAATTGCTGTCACAGAGCAAAACCACAAAAGCTACTTTCAGGCCAACTAATTTGGATACAAAGCATGAATGGTTAATTATAAGTCACATGGGATTCATGGAAGGATGGTTGTAGAAGCCCTTACCCTCAATAATTATTAAAAGACAAAGGATCGCAAAAAATTTTCTCCCTTGACAGCATAACCTTAGCCAAATTCTGACCACTTGCCCATCCATTTCTCAAGTCAATTTTAATCTCAGATCATTGTGGGTTGAGTTGCATATCCTTCACATCGCCAACCACCCAAGTTCTTGACCTATCCTGAAACTATGCGATGATCATATTGCCAAATGTCCTGTTTCAGTTCATCGAGGGCCTTCCCCTGACCCTTTTCGGTTGATCTTTAAATCCACGGAATTGACCCTTTTCAGTTCATTATGGGTTAAGCAAAATCGATTCCATTTTAGCTAAATAAATTAAAATTTTATTTTATTTTTTTATAAATTATATTATTAAAATTTATAAACTTCATATATAATTATAAAATATATAAATAATCTAAACATAAAAAAAAAAAACATAACATTTGTTCTTTTATTCACATTATTATTTTTTTACATAAATTATTAAATTAACATTCAAAGTTTAACATAATAAAAAGTCCAAAATAATAAAATTAACATCTACGAAATAAAATTATTTAACACAAAACCACTAACCATCACAAATAATCAATTTGAATCTTCTCCATAACTTGACTCTTCACATTCACTCATATAAACTATCTAACAATTGAAAGAAAATAAAAAATATAATTAGTATAAATTTTTTTAATAATAAAGTAAAAGAAAATTAAAAATGAAAACTTATGTAAAAAAATATAAAATTTAATATTTATCCCAATTAAAGTGTGAATACTGCATTTTTAACCTCTTCACTCATCAATCATTAACAACTAAAATGAAATCCACAATCTCAATCTTTGATATCTCTAAAATGTATAAATAAAAAAATAAAAAAATTAAAAAAATGAAACAACAATATTAAATGTATATTATATTTTGTATAAATTTAAAAAAAATATATAATATATAATATGTTAATATATATATAATTAATTTGATATTTTGATCCGTTTGATCTAAAAATTTTAAAACCAAAAACCACTCAAGAAATCAATTACATCAAACATTTAGGAACAACTGCCTCAGTAAATCAATTAAACCAAACCGTTTAATCCAAATCGTAATTAATTTGTGTAAATAATCACTTTGATATGATTTTACTCACTACATCAAACATTTAGGAACAATTAACTTAATAAATTAATTAAACCGAACCGTTTAATCTAAATTATAATTAATTTGAGTAGATAATTATTCTGATCAGATTTTACTCACTCCGCAGGTGTCCTATTTCAGCTGTGCATTAGCTTCTCTGCTTGATCTATTTGTACTTTGATTTTTTGAGGATTGCGGTTTATTAACTCCGTAAAGATTAAGATACGAGTTATTTAGTTCACCATGCAGGGAAATATTTCTTACTTTAGTCTAAATTAACTTACTCTGAGATGTCAAAGAAAGGATTAAACTTACCTGTTGGATAGGCGTAGATCTTATCTGCTATCTTTTCAAATCTATCTACCTCCTCCTCACCAAAACCCACAATATGCTTAATTTCTAATACATTTCCTGCTCCAGGGATTCCGACTTTCTAGCTAGGTGGGCTAAAAGAGCAACAAGGAATGAGCAGTTCTTCGTTTGAATCCCGGACAAATTTTCTGCATTGAAGACACGAGCATATCTCCAACGTTTTGCTTTTGCTCCTATTTCCTACTTATCATCCATCGGAAAATCATAATGTTCAACGATGTACTGAATAGTCTCTAAAGCTACCCTGGTCATTGGATGAGCAACAATTTCAAACATCTGTATCAACGCAGCGCTTTTAAGCACAGTACATCATCAGAATGTATGCATGCATTAATGTAAATGCAAGGTGTTGCTCGAAGAGCATTCTGCAGAGTCCCTTATCAGTATTATCCAACTCCTCCAAGGCTCTTAAAAATGGAATAACACTGTATTTTAGTACTTTCTTATTCTGAAGTAAGGTCCTGATTCCCTTTAAGCAGGTTGGATCTGGAACAATACGTACAGCTATTGCCTTTCGCTAAAAGTTTTGATACTGATTGTTTATATACTCCCAAGCTTTCAGATAGTTTTGGTCTGTTTTAGTTATCATCCTTAGTACAGAAGCCGCAATGTAACAAACAGATGATTCCAGTTCTACCTGCTCGACATCAGATGTGTCCATAGGAGTTGCTGCAGTTGACCCTGTAGAGCACAGCCTCATCCAAATTGTCCAGTTTGACCTGTTTTGCAGGATTTATATGCTTTTCTTTATTAAAGCATTTCTTGTTTGGCTTTGCAGCTGATGTTATTCCCCAAGCACACTGAACCAACACTCCTACAAGGTATACAGTCACATGGGAAGTCAGGCAGGTTTCAGCTCTAACAGTTAAACTCTTGTCTAGATTCCGCTGTGATAGTATCCCATGGTTAGATAACAATTCTCTCCAAAGAAAGCAGTTCATCATCTTCCCACAAATTTGAGCTTACTGTTTGTCCAACTGTACGGCTTGCACTAACATACTTGGCTAACAACTTATTGTTTATTGCATACTTGATAGGTGTCTTGATGGGCTCATTGGATGCTGAAGGTTTATCCATAACTGGCGAATATGTGAAAGTGCCAATAAGAACAATGCTGGTCTACTCTTCTGTTGGGAGCACGCCGTCTGTTCAAAAAATAAAACAGGTTACTCTTAACTCAAACTCTAACTAACTAATAGTATTATAATACAACTCTAATAAGATATTGTAATCTAACTAAGTAATATTGTTGTATTACAACTTTAACTAAATAACACCTATCATAATCTTAACATCTTCAACATCAATTGCATTGGGTTTAGCTAGATATTGGTAAAAACAAAAATGCCATGCATTTTCAAAGTGAAGTCCCCGTTTATAAAATGCATTAATGAACAACAGAAAATGCATTATGACAGTATAAGATAATATTTCCATCATAACTCTAATGATGATGCAATTGGATAATCTATAAAAGTGAGACAGTTTAACCCTGCATTTTGGTGAGTTTTTGACACTTTTGCTACCATTTCTATCTCATTCTTACCAGCAGTTAAGAGAGCTAACTATTTATCCTAAGGTGACTGTAATTCTTAAACCCCCGAGCGCTGGTTCTTAACAGAACCCTTATAATAATAACAAAAGGCAATGCGGAGAAACACATAAAAACCCTTAAAGAGCACGTCATTCTTATAAAAGTAATTAAACATTATACCTTTTCCCATACATTTGAGGCAATAAGGGGTTGCATCACATTCAGTAGCAAGACATAATTAAAAAGCACAACAATGATAGAGTTGTCCACCCTGTGCATGCACGTCTCAGAAACTCTTAACTTTCCACTTAAGCTTTTCTCTTGGCAGCTAATAGAATTGATCAAGAGCCTAATTAAATGACCAAAACAACAAAGCACTGCCAAAAATACCAAAAACCAGACACATCTATAGCATACTTAAAATGGAAGCCCTAAATCCTCGCTTATTCACATGTCGATTTCAAAAGGTGCTTAGAAAAGTTGAATAGCATTTACAAAAGAGATCTGAGATTGTTTAACTTGGGATGTAGAGGTATAGGCTCTCTGCGGGCCACATACGTGAGTGTCTTAGATTTTATTTGTGTTCAAGGTATGGGTCATACTCTTGTCTAGTTAAACCCAAAGATTAATCCCAACACCACAGAAACATCAATTCCAAATCTGGGCATCCATTAATTCTATGAATAGAAAATTCTCAAAAATATCTGCAAACAAATAGCCATACATGCACATGCCTCAGTCAGTTCCGTGCACCCAAATATTAAGAAACAATGGAAAGGTCAATTTTTGAGTCATCGGCTAGAAAAATGAAACAATCACTAGAATGTGGTAAAAGCAGTCAATTCTTTAGGTTTGACCCAACAATTCTATCAAAACAAAACGCCAAATACCCATTACCCAAAAAAATCAACATTATTTGCATATCAAGCCTCAAAAAATAATTAATAAAACCAACATTATTAGCCCTAATGATTAAACTAATTCAAAAGTCACATGTATCAAATTACAGTCGGTAAATCGAAATGGGCAGCTGTAAAAAAAAAAACCTAATGAAAAACGTACTTTTTAGCATTGGGGAGTGATGGAGAGAGCCGGAGATAGAGAGAGAGAATAGAAGTAGAAGTATAGAGGAATTGAAAGAGGCGCGTGAGATGAAACGAAGGAAGTGTGAGACCGAAAATGCAGTTCTTTGTTTTTTATTTATTTTATTTCCTCGAAATTAAGATGAAACGGAAAAAAAAAAGCGAAAGACAAATAAATATAAGTATTTGATACATTATTTTTTTTTAGATTTAATTTTTTTAATTATTAAAAAAAAACAATTATAGGCTCTGTAAATTAACTAGAGGTAAATCCGTGAGTTGCGCTTGCTCGCCACCCGTTCAGTTTATACCCCTCAGGATACAGTTCACTCGTTTAACACGTGACAACTTCCCTTCTCTAGAGTCAACGCAGGTAAAATTTGAAAATTCTGTTGAAAGTCCTGACACCCTTCTCGAGTCTCCACGTGAAAAAGTGTGGAATGTGACCTCTTTTTATGTATAATATAAATATGTTAAGATCACGAAAAATTATTAATTAATAAAAATAATATTTAATTAATAAATAATAAATTATTAATTTATATATTAATTAATAAAAATTTAATTTATTAACTTATTTTTTATTTTTTAAAATTAATAGATTTAATAGATGCATTGTGTATTATGATTATATAAATATTATTTAATTATCAAATTATAAATTATTATTATTTGTAAGGAGTAAATTATTAAAAATATCATAAAAAATAATAAAAAATAAAATTAAATATAATACTTTTTTGTTGAAATTTTTCTCGTTTAAAGATGTATTCAAAATAATAATTATATTGTATAATTTTTTTTAATATATTAAAAAAATAAAAAATAAAATATAAAGAAGCATAAATTTCATGAAAAAATAAGTAATATTTGAGTCATTTTGTACAAAGCCTTCTAATTAAGTTATTATACAAAGCTTTTTCATTAAGTTATGTATATATATAATTTAAGTGTATAAAAAGATTATTAATTTATATATAGAGTTAGACTTACATATATATTTTAAATATATTATTTTATAAATTTAAAAAATTATTAATTTATCGATCTCAAATTGCCATCTATCAAAAATATTATTTTATTAACATTATTAATTTATTAAATATATTTATAAAAAATTTATTGTATATAGACTTTGAGATATTTGCGTTGTGTTTGCAAAATTGAACCGACCTTGTTATTCGCTCATATTCCTAAAATACCCCTCATTTCTTTTTGGGCCTTTACCTTGCTTTTTTATTTTTACTGTTATCGAAACAATTGTGAAAATTATTACCGTTTATAAGCGTAAGAAAGTAGGTAAGCCAACCATTTTTAATATAGTAATGATATAAAATATGTTCACATTAATGAACAAGTGGACAACGAAATTAACTACCATTTTCTCGTCTTTTTTTTTTGGGGAGTAGTTTATCGTGCCTTAAATGAAAAGATTAGTGATGAATGTTGAAGCACGTCTCTGTATGAAACTACGACTAATTCATGACGTACTTGTCAAACGCAAGAAAGCAAATTTGGTATAACTAAGTTGTTTACTAGTAAATATTTTCAGCTTATCTAATTACATTTCTACTAATATATCAAAAGGACTTATATAAACAATATTGAATAATATGTTATTAAAGGCTGTGTCCCGTTGTTTTATTATTATTTTTTAATTCATTGGCTCAAATACTGTGCAATAAGAGGTACATTATTTCTACTAAAAAAATTAGTCGACTAGAAGTAATAAAGAGAAATACCCTTTCTCTTTTTTTTTCCCTAAATATTACTTTTACATAACCAATTCCTTTATTCAAAAAAAAAAAAAGGAAAGAAAGAGGGAAAGATTTCCACCGTTGAATAGGGTTGGTGTTCCATGTTACTATTGTATAGTTTGACCAGAAGGTAGGAAAGAGAGGTGCTAGCAGATAGGATCTAACTTTATAAGAACCTTCCTAACAAAAAATTGGGACTAGGAGTTAGTAACGAATTAATTATGTTTCCTCCTAAGAGCTTCCCCGTAAAAGCTGTGTGCCATAACCTATTAACTGGTTCAGGGTCAAGATTAAGAAAATTAACTCTCCAATATATATATATATATATATATATATGCGTATATATATGCAATAGACCTAGCCCCATAGGCCAAAAGCTTGATCTGGGTTTGCCAACCGGACCTGACCTTTTCACCTGTCCCTCTTGTTTCACTGCAGAAAACACTAGATCGATCCACCTCTCTCTCTCTCTCTCTCTCTCCATTTTCTGTCACTTCTTTTTTCACTTGTTCTCCCCATTAAATTGGACAACCACCAATCCAACAATCCATTGCCCACATTACTTAGCTATATTTCCCCAATACTCAAACGGGGTTACTGGCACATTTCAACCTTCCCCGTTCCCCCTCTCTCTCTCTCTCAGATTTCTCTCTTTCTCGGTTGCTCTATTTAAACCATAGTATCCTTTTCCACTTTCTCATTGCCTATAGTAAAACAACTCTACAAGCTCTCTTAACATGGAGCCGAGCACCTCCCATGACCCTGAACGAAACTCCGCGTTCTACGCTCCCTTGCCAGACCACCCCTCCTCCGGCCGAGCACCGGCCACTCGGAGTAGACCCTTGAAGGGTTTTGTAGTGATACTTGCCTCTGTCGTTTTCCTACTCTCATTGGTCGCATTAATTATTAACCAACGCCAAGAACCATTACCAACGCCCAACAGGGCCCCGTCAGCGTCTCCCACGTCAAAACCTGCGTCGTTTTCAGAGGCGGAGCCAAGAGGGGTCGCTGAAGGTGTCTCAGCCAAGTCAAATCCATCTCTTTTGAACGAAGTTTCGTTTAATTGGACAAACGCTATGTTTTCTTGGCAAAGAAGTGCCTACCACTTTCAGCCTCAAAAGAATTGGATGAATGGTAGGTAACCAAGGGCCGTTTTGTTTTGCTTTTGCTAACCAAAGTTCTAAATCACGTTCATTTTAGTTTAATCAGGTTTCTATGTAAGGAAGTTAGGTGTGGATTTGCGCTTTTTGACTTCCTTCCGAATTGCAAATCGTATCTTTAAATTATGTTTTATTTTTTTGTTTGCTTCCTAATGATCGGATTTTGCTGTCTTTTCTTATTACTGCACGTTGGCTGGGGAATCTCGGTGTCCTGCTTCAGATCCTGACGGTCAGTTCTCATAACAACACTGTTGTTACTTCAATTTTTTGCTTCCTCATGACAATTTTATACTCTCTGCCATGTTGTTTAGAGTGCATCCAAACTTGTTTTCATTCGCTAACAATCCTAGAGAGGGGCATTATTGGCTCTTTATGATTACTATTCTTCCTCAAAATTGTTTAATCGAGGAGTCAGCATTATACAAAATGTTCTAATAAGGAAACAGGTTGTGATCTCAAACATTTCTTCTTTTATATTTTCATTTTCGGGTACCTTAACGCCTTTTAGTTAGTCTTAAATTAAAGCATAGGGTTGATCTGTCTGTAAAAGTTATCGTCCACCTCCAAGAATTCAGTGATCAAAATCAGATAATTATTAGTTTGGACCTAAGAATGGAATTATGGAAATTGTTTTGATGTATTTGGGAGGTACATCAGCGGTAGCAGATGAACTACCAATCAAGGGGCATGGATGCGTGTGGCAATGGAATAGCCTAGCGAGGCTATGTG